CCCAGAAAAGCAACAAGGAAGCAAGCTGTCTTTAAAAAAAAAAAAAAAAAAAGAATAATGATCATCAAAAAGGTTATACAAATGACTAACAAGCACATGAAATAACATTCAATACCATTAGTCAAATGCAAATTAAAATCATAAAGAGATAGGACTATTACCCACTGAAATGGCTATAATAATAACAAGAATAAAAAAGCAATTACAATGTTGTCAAGGATGTGGAGAAACTGAAAGCCTCATACACTGCTGGTAGGGATGTAAAATGGTCTAATCACATTGGGAAACAGTTGGCAATTACTTAAAAAGTTAAACATAAATTTACCACATAAAGTAGAATTTCATTCCTAGGTATCTTTCCAAAAGAAATGAAAACATATGTCTATCCAAAGACTTCAGTGTAAATGTTCACAGTAGCATTTATTCATAATAGCCAAAAAGTGGAAAAACAACCCAGGAGCTCAGGGAAAAATGCAGATTTACTGCAAATGGGTATAAGGAAACTCTCTTCTGGATGACGGAAATAATCTAAGAATGGATTGTGGTTGTTGCACAACTATGCAAATGTATTACATATCATTTAATTGTACACTTAAAACAGGTGAATTTTATAGTAGATAAATTATACCTTAATAAAGCTGTTAAAATGTTTACTAAAGAATAGAGAAATCAAGGAAGTAAACAAGGAGTTCCTAAACATGACATTGTTTAGCTGCCTACTGGCTCTGAGATAAGGAGACACACATTTCAATAAAAGCTGAAACAAATGAGATATTTGGTAATAAGTACATACATGATGATTACATGTTACTTTACTCAGAAAATATTAAAATATTACCATTTATTGCTATCTATTCAAGATATCACATATTAGGATTTGAATATTATTTCCAATTTATTTTACTTTATAAATAATAACCATAAAACAAAGGGGTTAGTGGAAGCTCATAAAAGATTACAATCTTATGTAGAAATGAAACTCATAAAAGAATTTCAAATGAAGAGAATAAAAGTTTCCTGCCAGGGGCAGGCAGGGTCGAACATCTTTCCTACATTCTCAGCAAACAGAAGAGGCCAGAATGATGCCCCTGGTTTCCTCTTCAAAATACATAAATGACTGCATAAAGCTTCCAAACTTTCTTGAGGTATAAGATGCTAAGTTTCTTCAAAAGGACTAAACAAATTACAATTAGAATTATATGCCATGGCAATTCCAGGTAGAGAAAATGTGCTTGAAAAGTTATCTAAAAAAAAAAAAAAATACACTTGAATGAAAAGTAGAGAAAGTGCTGGAAAACAAAGGAACTTGGGGTTAGAAGATCTGGATTCTAGACCCAACATGGTGATTTTGTAGCTTTCCAACAAATCAACCTCTCTAAGCTCCTGTCATTTTTCTTGATCAAATATAGTTAAATGCATCTTCACATGATGATTATGAGGACTAAAACAATCAATGGTGATGAAAATGATATCAGATAAACACTTAAGAATTATTACGCAAGCTAGTTTGACAAGAAAATGTTCAAGAATTTCCATTAAAGTAAGATCATCATAGGTGAAAATTCACTATGTTTAAGAGACTCTAACATAAATTCTCATATGCACTTAAACAGCTGATGAGAACCCAAAATCACAAGTGCTCAACTGCCAGCCAGAAAAAAAAAAATTTAGTCAAAAGAACAGAGGCATTAAAATTAAAGAAATGGGAAAGGAAAATCTTTATAGGAGAAATGCAAGTAATAAATGTACAAAGAATAAAGAATTTTTAAAAATTCACTATTTGGGAAACATCACAGTATAAAATTGTCTCAGGCAAGAATCATCAATGTATGCTAAAGGGGTCAAAGCTGAGGAATAACAGGACATTACACGGTCGCAAGGTATGAAATAGCACCTTTATGATGGAGAAACCTAGTAGGCACCATTTTATTAATCATGTGAGCAAATTAACATTACCAGTAACAAGGCAATATCATGTACCTCCAGGCATGAAGCACTAAGAATAACACACCACGTCTGTTGTATTCTGGGGAAAAAATGAATAAGCTAAATCTAACCATGAGGAAAAATCAAACAATCCCCAATTGAGGGACATACTACAAAATAACTGGCCTATACTCTTCAAAATTATCAATGTCAAATACAAAGAAAGACTAAGGAACATGTTAAAGAAAACTAAAGTGACATGGCAACTGAAGGCTATGTATGATGTGGGGTTTCTTTTGCTATAAAGATATTATTGGGACAAGTGGCAAAATCTGATTTAGGTTTATAGGTTAGTTACTATTCCTACATTGTTGTTGGTAATTTCCCGTTTTTGATAATTGCATCTCATAAGATAATATCTGTATTAGTCTCCTTGGGCTGCCATAATAAAATACCATAGACTGGGTGGCTCAAACAACAGACAGTTATTTCTCATAGTCCTGGAGGCTGGAAGTCCAATATCCAGGTGCCAACTTAGTCAGCTTCTGGTAAAAGCTCTTGTTCTGACTTGAAGATGGCTGCCTTATGGCTGTGTCTACACATGGCAGGGAGGGAAAGCAAGATCTCTGTGTCCCCTCTCATAAGGACACTAACCCTATCAAGAGGGCCCCACCCTTATAACCTCATAAACCTAATTACTTCCCAAAGGCCTCATCACCAAATATCATCACACTGGAGTTAGAGCTTTGACAGAGGAATTTTGGAGGAACACAAATCATTCTATAGTGATGTCCTTGTCAAGAAAAGTTTATACACAGGCACACATACAGAGATGGAGGTGGGGGGTGGGGATGAGGGGGAGAAAGAAAATAAGGAGAGAGAAAAGCAAATGTTAGTATTTGTGGATTCTGAAAGGTATATGAGAATACTTTGTACTCTTTCAACTTTTCTGTTAAGTCTGAAATTTGGCAAATATATAACTGTCAAGAGAAATCAGACGCTTATGTGCATTCCAAAAATATCTCCCAAATAAACATCTATATTGAAGTTATTTGTGATTTTCTTATTCTTAAAGCTTATTTTCCATGTCCATAAATTTCTTCCAAGAGGAGAAACAGAGTATAACATCTGTTCCTAATTTCATATAAATTGACATTCTAGGTATAAAAGACTTATTGATTACCACATCTATCTCCCTGTTAGTGCTAAAAAAGCAAAATAAATGAGCACAAGCACTGCATGTTCTCAGAGAATATTTCATCTCCTCATTTTAAAAAAAAGAAATTATACACTACAGTGTAGAAACAGAAATATATAGAGCTCACTACATTATCATGATTATATATTTTTTTCAATCTATCTCACTTTTCTTGCTCTATGCCTTTCTCAGTGTGTAATAAATTAACTTAAAGGCTGCTGGTGAATGCTTGCTGAATCAGCCAATGTCTAAAGATATTAACACTCAAATATCCCTAATTATACACTACTATTTAATCTTCATAAAAATCTTCATGTTGAACCTTCAGAAAATACTTATCTAACCATTAGAACCAGGGCTAAAGATGAAAGAAACATCCTTATAAACTAAACTTAAAGGATGTTATCTTTTCAGAAATATAAATGGTTAAGTATTTACCATTTATATATTATAATGACAGCTGATATTTACTAAGTCCTGTGTGCTAGGGCCGTTTACATGGTAGCTAACATTTATCAAACTACATGCTTTAATAAATGAACTGATTATCAAAGTAGTTAAGGATTTGTTCAAGAATGTCCACTTTATAAATAAGTGGCAGAACAAGTATTCAAACGTATGTCCAAAATATAACCTTGAACTTCTTTTACTGTGGTATTCCCAAAGTCTGTTCCACAAACTAAGTAATATGTGTTAAGGTGAGAAAGGGGTTCCACAGTCAAATAAAGTTAGACAGCATTGAGCAAAACAAAATCAAGTTTTGTTTTTTTACTAGAAAGCATGTTTTTATTTAGTATGCTAATATGTGTTTTAAGTCTCAAAAAGGGAGATGGTTTATAGTAGCACAAAAATTCTATTAGTTTTAGAGAGTATCTATATGGGTGTCCCACAAGTTATAAACAGTAGCACTATACCACATTATCCAATAATACAGCAGATTCTGTTTTTGTTCATCAATGCCAAGGTAATCGATGCTTGATTGTAGCAAAGGCAACTAAAGCAACGAAGAGAGAGCTCGTCGCTTACCATCGTGCATCTTGGACCATCCATCTCTTTCACAGTCTCTGCCAGAAGATCCAAATAAAGTATCGGCCCTGGGACTTGGGGGATCGACCTAGAAGGAGAAGGATCTCAATGTAAAACAAAGAGCTTAACTGTTCTTTCAGTCTCATGGATGAATGAGAAATCAACTAAAGTACATGGACCACATATTATCAAGTTAACGTGAGAGTGACTCTCTGGCATGTTTCAGAGTTTAGTTGAGTATTCTGCTGTTTGTTTTTAAACAAAATGAAAATTAAATTCCAGAGATTTTAAATTATGTATATGAGCCCACTTTAAAACTGAACATATTTACAGTTGAAATATCCATTACTCCATTGCCTACTTTCCTCTCCATTACAAAGTTTAAAAAAGAAGAATCTACTTTGCCACATTTAAAAAACAAGTTTAGCCATTTGCTACTTATCTCCTTAGTATATAGATTTTGAATTCAAACAGTGTCTTTACGTGGCTGTGTTCAGAGCCCAGCATGCTGAGTGCTTTACAGATTAAAATAATAAGTCAACCATGTTTTCTAACCAAATTTTAAAAGTCAGAGTACTATAAATCTGTATAAAAAAAGACAACTCTGTTCATCAAAATTTAAAACTTTAGCATAAAAGAAAAATGCTAGGAGAATAAAAAGACAACTCATAGGAGAAAATATTTGCAAATCATTATCTGATACACAGGCATTAATGTGCAGAAGAAATAAAGAAACTTCTACAACTTAATTTAAAAACTCAATTAAAAGTGGGCAAAGGGCTTAAATAGACATTTCTCCAAAAGATATACAAATGACCAATAAGCACATAGAAAAATGTTCAACATCACTAATCATTGGGGAAATGTAAATCAAAAGCACAGTGAGATAATACTTCACACCCATTAGATCACTACTATAAAAAACAACAACAACATAAAATAGTTCGTGTTGACAAGAATATGAGAAACTGAACCCATTTTGTACTGTTGGTGGGTGGTATGCAAAATGGTGCGACTACTATGGAAAAGAGTATAGTGGTTCCTCAAAAAATTCAAAATAGGATTGTCATATGATCCAGCAATTCCACTTCTGGGTATATACCCAAAAGTGAAACCAGGGAATTGAACAGATATTTTTATACCATGTTCACGCAGTATTATTCACAATAACTAAAAGGTGGAAGCAACCCAAGTGTCCATCAACAGATGTATAAATAAAACGTGGCATATACATATAAAATAATATTATCTTGCTGTAAAAAGGGAATTCTGACACATGCTGTAAACTGAAGTGAACCTTGATGACATTATGCTAAGTGAAATAAGCCAATCACAAATGGATAAATGCTGTATATTCCAATTATATGAGATACCTAAAGTAGTAAAATTCCTAGAGACAGGAAGTAGAATGGTAGTTGCCAGGGGGGCTGGAGGAAAAGAGGGATTGTTTAATGGGTACAGAGTTTCAGTTTAGCAAGATGAAAAGTTCTGGAGACAGATGGTGGTGATGATTATACAACAATGTGAATCTACTTATTGCCATTAAACTGCACACTTAAAAATCATTAAAATAGTAAGTTTTCTATTGTATATTTTACTGTAATTTTTAAAAATTAAAAATAGTCAAAAGACAAGCTACAGAATGAGGAAAAAATAATAATACCTGATAAGATTGTAGAATCCTAAATATATAAAGAAAACTTACAACTAAACAACAAAAAGACAAACAACCCACTTAAAAATGGACCAAAAACTTGAACAGGCATTTCTCCAATGAAAACACACAAATGGCAAACAAGTACATGAAAAGATACTTAACATCATTAGTCATTAGGGAAATGCAAATCAAAACCATAATGAGATACCACTCCACATCCCCTAGGATGGCTACGATAAAAAAAAAAAAAACCCAAAATATTGTAGAAAACAGGTGTTACTGAGAATGTGGCTGAATTGGAACCCTCATAGATTGCTGGTGGGAATGTAAAATGTGGCAACCACTGTAGAAAACTGTGACAATTTCTCAACAAGCTAAACATGGAATCAATTACCATACAGCCCAGCAATTCCACTTCTAGGTATTAAAGCAATTAGGAATTAAAACAGGTATTCAAACAAAAACTTACGTACAAATGTTCATAGAAGCACTGTTCATATAACCAAAAAATAAAAACCACCCAAATGCCAATCAACAGAAGATGGCTAAACAAAATGTGGTCTATCCATGTAATGGATTATTATTCATACATAAAAAGAATCAAGTACTGATAAATGCTACAACATTGATGAAAACTATGAAAACTGTGCTAAATGAAAAGAACCAGACACAAAAGGCCAAATATTGTATGATTCCACTTCTACGAAATGTCAGAATAGGAAAACCCATAGAGATAAAAAGCAGATTAGTGGTTGCCAGGGGCTGGGGAAAGGGAGGAATGGGAAATGAATACTTAGAGAGTACAAGGTTTCCATTTAGGATAATGAAGTAGCTCTGGAACTAGACAGTTGTGACAGTTGAACAACAATATAAAGGTACTTAATGCCACTAAATTACACACTTTAAAATGATTAAACTAGTAACCTTTATGTTAGGTGTATTTCACCACAATAGAAAAAAAGACCCTATTTTGCATAAATGAAATCCTATTCTTCACACATGCAAAAGAAAACAAATGCTGTTTATCTCTTCTAGAATGGTTGTGCCAGTTTCAGTTTGTTTGAGAGCATGCTAGTGATCTCTTGACACTGCTCCATATTCTTTAAGGCTATTTTTCATACAGTGTATGTAAAACTAGAATGTCTTTCCTACAAGTGTTAACCTTTTGTATATGCACGTACCAAATTAAAGTTTCGTTTGGTTATCAGTTTGTTAACACTTTTAAAATCACAATTTTTTTTTTTTGGGGGGGGAGACATGTCTATGTTTACAAATACAACTGGAAAAATCCAATTTCCTATATAATAAGGAAAGCAATTTTCTTACAGGATTAGAAGTATGCATTTTTTTCTATTCATTAGAAAGCTGAGAGGGAAATCATTTAAATAAAAATGTCAAAGTTTATACCAGGTTGTATTAGAATCATTCTGTTTTGAACACTAATGTGAAAAAAATAATATAGTTAACATTTTAAGAGCATTTATTTCCCTAGACAATTTTTATGTGGCTAACCCCCAGAATATTCCTGGTTATCTTTGTACAAAGGCATTTTAATTAAAATGCTACTATTTCTTCAGATTGGAATTTAGTGTGTCCTTTCTTTTCAATTTAATTAAAAATTGAGGACAGATATAAAATTAGAAGCATTATGAAACTGCCATCAAACAAGCAAGTAAACATTACCTGGATACTGTTTATACAAACGACCACAAAAAAAAAATGACTGGAACTTATAAATAAATTCTACAGAAACAAGACAAATGTAATCACAATAACCTCAATAAAATATTAACATTTAAAAGTACCCATTACATTATACATTTTCTTTTTACAATAAAAAATGATATTCCTTTAAGTTAAAAAATAAAGGATTCATATCAAAATATAAAAATTGAATGAAATGTTGTTTAAGGCACATCTAAATTTTTAAAAAGGTATCACAAAGGAAATCTGAACTTAAAGGTGATGTATATTCAAAAAGCCATTGGACCATCAAAGGAGTATATTTGCATGTTTACATTTATATTTACATTTTAGAATTTGGGAAAATGAATTAGAGGCATTAAAATCAGAAACAGTTTTATAGATATCCAAAAAGTTGTTTTGCTTCTCTAGGCACTTCAATCTGAACATTTATTATTATTATATATATTTGTCAGTATTTGCAAGCTTTTGTTAAAGAAATGCTTTTAAAGTAAGAATTCTTTATAAATTTTTTTTTCAAGAAACTATGAAGATTCTGAGAAGGTCCTTTATTAAATATTCTGATTATAGACACTTCAAATTAACCAAAGTCTGCTTGATCATCATATGGACAACTTAACCCACATCAAAACCAGGTTTCTGTATAGAAGGAGTAGAGCTATGCGACCCTTAAGTTAACTCGCTTCACTTTTAAAGGCCTTCCCATCCCCACCAAATAATGATTTGCTTCAAAGATCCATTATGTAAGGTTTACCCAAGGGACATAATTTCAAAAGAACCTTACTTTCCATTATAATTTTTAAAAAGGCTGGGAGAAGCGGGTCTTCCTTTTGATAAAGAAAACCTGGTCCTCTTTTAAAGCCCTACTGTGCCATTTTGGTACTAATGTCAATCACACTAAGTTCAATTTGGAGTGATTACGCTGTCCACTGTATGAGAAGAAAGGAAAAAGGTACTTAGAGGTTTTATCATGGCAGTCATAATGGAACTTGATCTGTCACGTTTAAAGGCTGACAAAGGAGTGTTCTTTTCTTCTAAGTTAACATTCCATTTTAGATTGCTAGGTAACAGTTCAGGAAAGAAAACTGTTAATATAAGCTAGAAGATGAAAGAAGTTTCAGAATAATATTTTTGTGGAAACGTTTAAGGGAACACATACATGTCTAATCACAAATGGAGGTCTGTCTGTTTCTTTTTTGAATTCATAGGGCCCCAGATTTAAATGGGCCAGCCGCCGCCTGGTGTCTTCAGATAGCTCACACATGCGTCTTTTTGTGTAGGGAGACGGAGAGTGTGATTTTGAAGAAATCGTAGGCTGTTCGTAGCTTTTTGCATTTACGCAATATTTACTTCTCTCAGGTGACTTGGACTTTTTCTTCTGTGACCTTGATGTTCGGCTTTGCAGTTTGCTGTGTGATTTTTCCAATGGAGCAGGATGGTAAATATACTTATCCTAAACATAAAAAAAAAAAAAAAAAATTAACTTGGGTGGGATACAGACAGACAGACAGGCAGGCAGACACAGACAAACAGGTATACACTTTAAAAAAGTAATTTAAGGTACATATAATCTATCAAAGCCAGCTGGATCAGTCTTTCCCATCTGTGCAGATCCTGGGAGAAGTCAAATCTGTATTCTCCCAGATAACTCTGTGTCCAGCAGTTAATAAAGTATACTGCATCAGACTTCCTTCTTAAGCTTAACAAGCACTTTATAAAAATGAAAGCACAGTATTTCATTGAAAAATCTGAGAAACAAAGTCAGAAAAATTATTTTTCAGTATACTAAAAAATTAATGCAGATATTTATCATTTACAATTAAGTATCCAAATAACTGGATATATAATTTAAGAGGGCTTTGTTTAGTAATGTTACAAATACACATCTAATTGGTTGATTATAAAAAATTTATGGAGAAAGTTATTAAAATAAGTTTCATTCATGCTGGTATGACTATATATATATATAGATATATATATATATATGAGTATAATGTGAAAAGCTGAAGAACATGTTTATACATATTTTCATGAAATGTATTACTTGAATTATACAAGCTTATTAGGATTTTAAGATCTCTTACAATGTATAACTTTACAATTCAATGACAGATAATCATACCATCTTAATTCTGGTTCCATATTGTTATAGAAGTAAAAATGTATAAGACATTATAAACTCAAGGACTAGTACTCTATCTTCTAAAAAACCTGGTTAGCAGTTAAATGTTTAAAAAAATGTGATATTTCTAATTTTTTTTTGCATTTTAAGGATATTTTATGTAATCTGTCTTATAAATGCATTAAAAGTTAGATTACAAATAAATAAGTCCTCTTCTCACTATCTATAATTATGAGCTTTTCAATAATAGAGAAAATGGACAGTTGAGAATCTTCAAATGTCCTCCTAACTTTAATCACCTAAAAAAACAAACCACCAATCCTCCCTCCTCTCTACTTTCTCAATCCCCCTCCCAATTTTTTAAAGGTATCTATCCTAAGAAAATAAAATACAAATGTGAAATAGAAGGGAGAAGAGTCAAATATTTTTTAAAAGGAGATTAAACAGGAAGGAAAATATACTTTCCTAATTGGAAAAATAAGCCCATGAGTTTCGTACAAACAGCAGCATCAGATTATTTCATCATCTTTCTTTCTTCTGTAGCTCCTGAGATGCTCCTGGACCTTCTCCCACCTTGTTCAATGACTTCAACAAATCAGAATTTTTCCTTAGCCCACTTCATCCACCTCTATGACATCACACTGACTCAGGGAAGCAGGAATGTGAGCACGTGAAGGGGCCTTTGAGGTGTAATAAAATGAATCTTTCCAAGACCTTGGACTTAGACTTTCTATTTCTCGGCTTTAATTACCATCTTCTACTTTATCTTAGATTTCATCATTATGCAGATCTACTGCATCCCAAGCTCTGAAAACCCCTTGCTGACCAACACTTCTTTTCCTCAACCTACTTCTTTTATTCTCATTGAATCTGTGACTTGCCCTCCTCACCTCCTCAGTCTCGACACCTCTTTCGCCCAGATGGTCAGAAATGCTTAGGGTATCTTACCCCTCCAGACCCCGATGAACCATAATCATCCATTTCAGCAATGCTGTCAAGTTTCTACTTACTCACCTCTGATTATACCAAACCTAAAATAAGTAACCTCTTCTTCTTTCTTTATGATTTGAACGCTGAATACTACTAGAGGAAGTTATAAACTGTGGTGTAACTACTGCAGATACATGCTGTCCAACTCTACTCAATCGTTAGTTCATGCATCCTATTGATGCCCATTAAAATTTAAAACAGTGGTTGTTTCATACTGTTGACCTAATGGCTCCCTCCTTTGGACAACAGGACAATCGCACACTTGACACAAGGAGAGACTTTGAAAAGTGTTTGTAGTTGTAGTCTTTTACTCCGGAAAACCTTCCTGCCACTAAGTGATGGAACCAAATTGAGCTAACTTGCCTCCAAGATGATGAGGGTCTTGTGGCCATGGCCCCAGCCATTGGCTCAAGCCAAGTACCAGAAATGTAAAGTCCCTCCTGGACCAAAAAGGCAGCCAAATGCCAGATCTGTGAATGAAGGCATCCTAGATCATCCAGCCCTAGCCTAGCCAGTACAGACTAAAAGAATCTCCCAGCCAATCCACAGAACTGTGAGAAACATGTTTTAAGCTACTTAAGTTAGTGTGGCTTTTTACATAGCAAATGCTACCTGATATATCAGACTAACAAACATATATATAAAGCTACGATTGATATTTAACTAATAATAACAAATACTACTTTTCAGTAGTAGGTAAAAAAGAGTAAATAGAAAACTAGTTGTATTCCAGAAAATCACAGTAATACTCGTATGCTTAATTTTCTAGTCCATTCAACTGGTGACAAAACATCCAATTTGAAAACAACATGCCAAAAGGAATAAAGATCATTATAAGTATCTGTAAACCTCAATAATGCCATGATTCTACTGAGTCCTCTTTTAGAAACCAAAATGGTTTGTCTTATTCTTATATTTGAATCTGAAAATACTGCTATATGGCCATTAAAACTTTACTTATAACTAATATTCACTTGAAAAATAAAGTGGATTTATCATGTTCTCAAATAAAGTCAAATAAGATTAAAATTCTGACTCTTCACATTCAGGATTTTAATGGAAAAGTGTATACTGTTGTGCCTACCAGGCAATGTTTTCTATTTTATAGTTCAACTATTATCTTCTGATCTCCTCCAATTATCTTAATTAAAAGATAATAACCTTGGGCCGGCCGAGTGGCACGATGGTTAAGAACTCGCTTGGGATGCCAGAGGGCCCAGGTTCGGATCCCACATATGAGGGCCAGTGACACTGCCCTCCGCAGCTGAGATGCTGAACAACAGCTCAACCTGGAGCTGGGCTGCCATGAGTCGCCGGCGACGGCGTGGGCTGCAGTCCCTGTGGCAGTGG